TGATATTACTAAATAAGCTAAATCTAAATCTCGTCAGCGACAACAGGCGAGAGCGGTCCATGAGGGTCTGTCCTTATAATATGTCTATGGTTGGCAGAACACTGAGAACGCTGACGCTATGGCGCCCTCTACTGCGCATGCGGGACACTTTCAGGTCGTTGGCCCGTTCAGACTGCAGAAAACATACAGGTCGCATATGTGTGACAGTGTGAACGCCCGGCTAAAAAAAGTCCGATTTGACAAAAAAATCGAAATTCAGGCTGCAGTGAAGCCTGCAGTTCATGTATTGGATAAATAATTAAATGTTGATGACATTTGAGGATATCTTTTAAATGTTTTTGTGCAATCCTTCATGCGGCCCAGCCTCACCCAGACTCTGCCTCCAGCGGCCCCCTGGGACATTGAGTTTGAGACCCCTGGTTTAGGAAGTTGGCATTAGCTTCCAGTAAACGCTGTGTTGGTTTGGTAATTTAGTGTTCGCTTCAATTAAATACTATTGAGGTAGCAAGTTAGCATTAGCTTTCATTGAATAATGTGGTTTTATATAGCATTAGCGCAGCTAGCTCTTTAGCTAGCAGAGCCTCCTCTGGTTCTGAGTTGCTCTTGAGGGTTTTTTGGGTTTTCCCTTCTGGTTGCTTCAGAACTCCAGCAGCTCTGTTCCTGTGGGTCGGTTCTGTTTTTACACCAGAAGTTTGTCGCTGACCTGCTTCTAAAAACAGATTTAAATGTGAAGCTGCTGAAGCAGAAAAACGGATCCAACAATCGGCAGGAAGTCGGTTCTGACCTGTGAGCGGATCGGGCCTCTGAATAGTCTGAGTGGAGGATCTGAGGGCCAGGCGAAACCGGGTTGGAGCAGCAGAACGGGTTTCTGCTGAAAGGTTGCAGCCACGCCTCGGATTATTGTTCTGACTGCAGCTTCCAGGAAACGCTGGGTGTGGCTCATAGCAGGAATCCTCACGAAGCGGGCCGGCGGCGGGTCGCAGCCAGAGGCAACAGGCCTCTGTTGAAGGAAAACCTCCATCCACCACCTGGATTAGATCCAACGGATCACTGAGAGAGACGACTGGCCGATCAGTTCACAGAACCAGAACCAGGACCGGAACTTGTTTAATGAAACTGACGCTGCGTTAAAATGACTCGGCGTAACAAATGGTTCTTTGTAAATCCACCTACAGGTTCACATATATTCATACGCCCCTTTCTGGCTGATGTTTCTGCACCAGGCCCACAGCATGACAGCACCACCACCATGCTTGTTCAGGAGTTTTGTTGCTTTCTGTCTCCATAAACTGAAAATCATTAGATCAGAACAAAATGTCTCCATAACGCTCCTCTTCCTCTTCTTGTCTCAACCATTTTATTTCCAATCCTGGTTTCAAACGCAGAACCCCCCTCCTCCTCGCTCGCCCCCTCCCCCTCGCTCGCCCCCTCCCTCTCTCCGATGCATTGCCGCCTTAACCCTTCTCTCCATCCTCCCCCACACCGCCTCTCTCTGTCAGTACGAGGAAGCAGCGGAGGACGAGGAGGACGAGGAGCTGATGCAGGAGAGCGCCAAGCGTTCCCGGCGCAGCGGCATCCTCCGTCGCCCCGGAGACCGCTGGATGCTGCGCGGCCCCCTGGAGTACGTCCCCCCCGCCAGCGTGGAGGTCCTCCTGAAGCAGCGCGCCATCCCATTGGATGAGAACGAGGGCATCTACGTCCGGGACATCAAGACTGGAAAGGTGAGCGGGGGGGGGCTTAAGACATGCTGCAGGTCAAATGATAATTGAGCTCAAATATTCAGTTCTAGTTGCAGCGTTCAAAGTTCAGGCCAGTTTCCAAGCAACTTTCTGTGAAAGGTTTTCAGGAATATAATAATCCAGATTACTGGAGATTACCTGAGGATCTGAATATTCCACATCCTCACTCCGTCCTGTTCTCACTCTGATGCTTATTTCAGTTTTCTTCCAAAATCTACATGGAGAACAAAACAATTTTTATTCTTTAATGAACTTAAATGACTGAATTTCTGTCGACTGGAACTAAACATGAAGTCAGGCTGAGGCAGAAAGTAGCTGGAGCTGAGAAATGCTGCCACCTGGTCCCCAACCCCCGGTCCGTGGACCGGTACCGGTCCGTGGACCGGTACCGGTCCACGGACC